CATTGGCATCGGTATATTCGCCTGCACAAAAAAATGAAAACGCCTTGTTAGCACCACTTCGGTTTGAAAATGTATGAAGGTGACAATACGACAAGTTCTAAACCTACCATGCTACAGCTGAAAGAGCACGACCAACAACAAGACAACTGCTCGCTCATTCACATGTTTTGGCACCACATGCTTCAATGGTATTTTCTGCGCATGCGTTATTTCAAGCTCCCCGCGATCTTCTTGGCGTAAATGCACCTTTGTCGGTAGGCAGTTCATATATGATTCCTATAGTGTACCGATATATAGATTCTTATAGTGCAGTCTTGGGAAACGGGGGGAGGAGCGTGGTGCGGGCTCGGTGCGGGCACAGGGGTCACAGGGGGGCGTTTCCGGGTGACGGCCTTCAGTGAGGATAGTTTCAAAATTTTTCTCTATCAAAGTTTTGTATTTCATCTTATTTTCTCATTCTTCCTTTTTATTTTTATTTTTTCTTTCTTTCTCTCTTTTGTGCATTATTGTTTTTTTCTTTCTCGGGGCTATTTACTTTTACAACGACTTTGTATATCCGCAGTTTGAATAAATTCCAGAGTCTGCGTTACCCTAATCTGCTACACAGCCGTTTTTAGTGTCGTCACGCAACGCTCCTCCCCACCAGGAGGGAGCAGCGTTGCGTGACGACACTAAAAACGGCTGTGTAGCAGACTGGCGTTACACTTGTTGCAACCTCTGGCATAAGGGTAACGCAGAATCTGGGGGCGATTCCCTTCCCCTCACCTTCCCTTCAAACTCCTGCCACGCAAGCCCCAGGACGTAGGCTAAGTTAGCACTGATATAAGTGAGATTCGGAATCGCATTTACAACAAATGGCAAACTTGAGATGCAAGATGGTGGTTTGTCAACTTGTGAAATGAGCAGAAAAAAGCTGTACAAAATAAATCTGATCGCAAGCGTGACATCAAATACTTTTTTTTGTTGTTGTTGAAATAATAAACAATTGTGGGATGAGGTTTTTGTGTTTTTCCGGAATAATCAAGATCAATCTAAGAGGTCGACCTTGATTATTTTTCGGGCCCCAAGACAAATTTTAAAATCACAACCTGCTGAATATTAGCAGAGTTCCTAGCGCACAAACCGGTCAGTTTTGCTTTGTTAACTGATAGTTTCATTTTATCTTTCTCAAAATCATTGAAACGTTGATCTTGAATATGCAAACACGGCGAACGCAAACCAGCTTTCCGGGCCCGAACAGTTACCCGAACTTTCGATAAAACAGGTCCCAGAATCGAAAATAAAGTAATAACAGTCAATACACCAGATGCCAAAAATTTTAATAGTTAAATGTATGAAGTTAAAAGACACTCAAGTCTCAAAATATTGGAATTCACATTGTACATGTGTACTCAGAAAAAATGTTTTCCAGTTTAGGAAAATTTAGAGTCTCTGGGAAAAAAATAACATGCATATCGAATCATTAAAGTGCATCCGTTGTGTACTTTAAACAATGATTTAACACAGTTTTGTGCTTTCCTCTCGTGATCCGATGGAAGATCCAAGGGTATGATAAATTCGGACGAAACAAGCATAGCTTATTACAAATTTAACAGCAAAATGTCATCTTGCAGTCTGGCTGATCTTTCAGGATCTTTCCTGGCCGGATAGCACCACTTTTTTATAGCTGTAGAGATGCATCTCCTTTGGTAACTGGTTAAAAAATACTTTTTCCGATAACTTTCCTAAAGGCTTTTCGAAACCTGGCGGTACGTAATGAGTAAGCAATCGGGTTTAGCACTGGGTGCAGAAATGTCAAACAAACCAGATAGTGCCAATTGTATTCGCAAAGACATGCACTGCACCATGCATTTATGTTTACAGCGACAGATACTGGAATCCAACAAACCGTAAGTACCAAAACCAATATGAATGTTGTGTACGCCACACTTCTCTCCTTCATTTTCAGCTTTTGCACCAGGCGAGAATTTTCTGTCAAAGACTGTCCTTCTAATAACCGTTCCCTTTCTACATTGCGATACAACTGTCTTCTTACCAGAACGTAAATCCCCGTGTAGCAACAAAAAACTATGATTGTTATAGGGATGCAGATGAAGTTAAAAACCCAAGATATATCAGATTTTAAATACAAGTCCCAACGTATAATGGTAGGTATCGCCAAGGTTAAAGCTGATAACCACACTGCCATAAAACAAAGATTTCTGTTACAAGTCGTCAGTTTGACTCTTCTTAAGGGGAAAGCGATGACAATGAGCCGTTCCACTGCAAGGATAAGGATCGTAAAAATCGAAGCAAGAAACGCTACGTGGTTGACAGAATACCCTGCTTGTATAAGCGTACGGTTGTCAGGAAACCAATGACGAAGTCCAAGCAGTAGCTCGCCGGGAAAGCCGATGAGAAAATCGCACACAGCAAGGTTTAAAATGAAGTAGTTGGCGGCTGTTCCCCTAAGCTCCTTGTATGGATCTTGGCATATTACCAGTATTACTGCTGCGTTTAAGGTAACTGTTAATGGACACAGCGAGAANGTTTAAGTCATTCGGAAAAGCGTTTATAAATCTCATGGCCAGCAAGCCTGAACGTACCTACGTGTTGCTCATATAAGTGGCCAGTACTTAGCACAAGGTAGTTAGTAGTTGAGATTAGTTACAGTTAGTTGTCGAGCAGTGAATTCGTTAAGTGATGCTGTAAGCAAGACATACGAGCTGCTGTATAGATCAAAGAACACCAAGATGTAAACTCAGGTAACTGGTACCTCTACGCTCAACGAGCGCCGGAGTTGCCCGTAAACCCCTTACACCTTTTATACGTAATGCATGCGAAAAAAGAAAAACGACAAATTCTAGTATAAAACGGTAACCGAGCTGATTGTTTCCATGTTGTGAGTCTTTCTCAGTGAGTGATAGCATTTTACTTTTTGAATCGCCGAGTTAAGGGTATGCTGTCCAGCCATTGACTTCGATCACTGTTATGAACGTCAAAACCGTGTATCTTAAACCAATATAGTACGCTTGAAAAGGGTGTACGAAATTAAAACAAACCAAATCGAAACTCACCTTCTGTGCAATTCATTGTAAAGTCTCCAGTATGCCGGCTCTACCCAATTGTCGTTATCACTCAGTTACACAGTTTTTTGAATTGAACAAGGCTTCTCTCTGCTTTTACTTGTTGCATTCATTCGGGTCAATGCCTATAAACATAAACACCACGACTATGTTTCTTCCTCTCTTTCCCTGAAGAAATTATCGGCATGTCACGCGATTATACAACCTCGTCCCCTGGGCTGTTTCCTCAAAAAATGGTTGAGGCCTTTTCAATTCCCGCCCCACCCATTTTTTTAGGGAAAAGCCCAGGGGACGAGGTTGGCGATTATACATACTGAGCAGGAAATTATTGCATCAATTGCATCATACCCAGCATTTCTTACGTGGTTATAGGGTGGCAGAGGAATACTAAAAAATGACCTTAGTAATATACGAAATGAACGAGTGACGAGACACTCAAATTTATGAAAATACATTGTCTTTTCCAAAAATAGTCAAAAGCCATTAATGGGTGGGAAGGCTGACTGGCTTGGGGCATTATGCCGGGGAATCTCCCTTTAGATGTGTTATCCGCCCCTGACCTTTTGACCCGAATGATTCCGCACCCAATTCTTCGACTGTAATCAGGTCTAATCAAGGGATCGGTTTATAAGCCTTTATTCCTCCAGAACCACCGCCACTACTATCTCTCTTAGTCTCCTAAAGCACGTTTTTATTTATTTATTTATTGTCGCAACAGGCCTTTTATGGCTCTTGTTTGTAACTATTGCCCATATTTAGCTGTCTGTTTTAGGATAACATATTTTAGGGGTCAAGAAAGGTTCAAACACGTTGAGATTACTTACAATCTTGGACAATAAAATTTAATAGCAAACCCTAACCCCCCCCCCCCGCCAAATCAAGGATGAAGCCGCGGAAAGGGCAAAAAACCCCCATTTTCCCATTTTTGATTGTGGGGAAGGGGGGGGGGGGGGGGGGTTTTCCTTTCATTTTGTGCAAAATTTTGGCTTACGCCTTTATTGCTGCCGTCCCTTCCCCTCCGCCCCCCGGTC